CGGGGGGGGGGGGGTTTTTAGCCCCAGCCACAAACGTACTGCTGCCCAGAGGAGCTAGAGCAGAGGGGGGGTCACAGCGGGCGGCAGAGCCCACAGCCCAGCTGAGGGAAGCCCCTGCAGCATCTCGCAAGGATGGGGTTTGTGTCTGTTTCCCAGCGACGTCCGGTGCGGCCTGCCAGCTCTCTGCTCGGCCCAGGGGCTGCCCCCAAGATGGCTGGCACTGGGGCAAGTGGGGGCCCAGCTGCCCTAGGGCAGGTCTGGGTTACGGTGGAACCAGGAATTCTTTGGCCACGTTTTTCAGGTGTGACATCGGGCATCTGGTGCAGTCTGATTTGCAGCCCTCTCTGAGCCACCCCTCCTCAGCTGTCTCCTCTCTTAGGAAGAGCCCCACGTCCCTTTCCCTCCAGCCAATGGCTGGCACTGGGGCAAGTGGGGGCCCAGCTGCCCTAGGGCAGGTCTGGGTTACGGTGGAACCAGGAATTCTTTGGCCACGTTTTTCAGGTGTGACATCGGGCATCTGGTGCAGTCTGATTTGCAGCCCTCTCTGAGCCACCCCTCCTCAGCTGTCTCCTCTCTTAGGAAGAGCCCCACGTCCCTTTCCCTCCAGCCACTGTGCTTTGCCTTCTCTCCATAGGCTGGCCACCCGGCACCCCAGGTCTAAGCAGCACATTAATTCTTCAGGTGACAGCCCTGCAGAGAAAACCCACGGGAGCCAACAAGAGGGTGGGCCTAAAACGCTTACCAGCCATCACCCCCGCCTCCAGCCTCGGCAGGCGTCGGTCCTTAAGCCCAGCCTGGGGTTCCCGGAGCTCCAAGTTGGTAGCTTTCTCAGCCAGGGTACATCCTTACCTACATGCAGCTGCACTGGGCACCTGAAAATCTGGGGTACTCCTGGGTCTTAATGTCCCCTGCCCGTTTCGTCCAATCCCGGCTCTTCGGCTCTGCTTTCTCCAGAGAGAGGCTCGTTAAGTGCAAAGGGGAAAAGCCGGCCAGAGCTCTGACAGCGCAGCCAGCCTGGGAAAGAGCCAGTCGGGTGGCAACGAAGCCATGTAAGAGGCGTGTCGTCCCCTGGGATACGCCGTCCGTTTCTGAGTTCCCCGTGTCGGCCGACAGGACCGGAGTTTAAAATGTGCTTTAAAAATATTTTGTGAGTGGGCAGCTGATGGCTGTAAAATCCCATCTCTAAACAATTAGCCCCCGGTGGGCACAGAGGCTCCAGTTCAGTAGTCTGGGGTAGGGCCCCAGACATCCGAAGGGCCCTTAAGATGTCAGCTTAGACCCAGCACTGGGGCTGGGCAGATCAGCTGCTGCTGTGCAGAGCCGGAGCCTTTAATCTCCAGTCTCTGGGAGCAGGTAATCAGCAACCAGTCTCCCTCTCGGGTGTCATTTCGAAAGCCTGGAGTTTTACACAATGGGTGGGGGGGGAGTTTGCACTAACTTCTGCCCAGGTGTTTCTCTGCAAATCCACTTCCCGGCTCTTGTCCCAAACCTCGGCCAGTGGCGTTCTTTGAACTGGCCAGTCCCCATCCGGGTTGTCCCTAGAAAGGTGACGCGTAGGTACCGTCCACAAGACGACGCAGCCGCTGCCTCTTTTACAATGGATCCCAAGCACACCGAAGTGTCAGTCAATAACCGGAGCAGAAAATGGTCTTACTGGCCTCACTGGCTTCTGGCCCCATCCCAGCAGCACTGCGGTGAGACGGCGCCAGGCCGAAAGGTCAGAAACGGACGAATCAGCCAGCACCACGGCTCCAGCCCAGGGAAGGAGCAGGCCCGGCTGAGAATTCCAGGTAGGTGCAGGCTCGGTTATTTTCCCCAAGCTGGTTTGCCCAGCTGCGTCCCTTCCCCTGCCTCCTCCATCTCTCTGCACTGCCTCCCCCCGCCCGGAGCCCCTCGCTACCACACCAAGGCCAACCGAGAGAAGCTGACAAAAGTTTAGACCAAGAGGCGGCCATGGACAAGCATCTCCCGGTTCTTAGTCATCGCTGCCGTCTCCATAGCTGCGAAAACACATTGCAAATCACCAGGCCGCAGCGCTGTCAAACTTCTCCCCTCACATTTCAGCCCAGTGCCCTGGGATGGGAGGGTGGCTCTGCCCCCCACACCAAGGCCAACCGAGAGAAGCTGACAAAAGTTTAGACCAAGAGGCGGCCATGGACAAGCATCTCCCGGTTCTTAGTCATCGCTGCCGTCTCCATAGCTGCGAAAACACATTGCAAATCACCAGGCCGCAGCGCTGTCAAACTTCTCCCCTCACATTTCAGCCCAGTGCCCTGGGATGGGAGGGTGGCTCTGCCCCCGGAGCCGCGCTTCCCCAGGTTTCCTGCTGCCTCTGTGTTTACTCCTTCCCGCGGTGACGTAAGGCAGCGAGCGGGGGGGGAGCAAGGTTCAGCGCGATATAAAGCCGGGTCTGGTCCATTTCATTCATTTCCCTGGCAGACGTGGCCGAAAGCTGCGTGCCCGTCGCTTTCTATAAATATAGGCAGAAATTGCACAACCCCGCGCTGCCGCCCCGGCCCTCTTGCACCATGCGGAGCGCACGGCAGCTCGTCAGGTTCACCCTCACCTGCCTGCTGCTGCTCCTCTCCAGCGTGGAACCGCGGCCACGCTCCTGGGACCAGCCCGAGCTTGAGCTCGAAACAATCAAAAGGGGCATCCTGAACCGGCTGGGGCTGCAGGAGCCACCTGTGCTCCCAGACAGAGGCTGGAGCAGGATGGGCTGAGGCGGGCGCGCCAGCTCTACCGGGAGAAACTCACCCAGCTGAGGGGGAACCGGAGCAGGGACGAAAGCCAGGCGGCAGCCCCAGCCTGGACCCTTCACCTCCTGACTCCAAAGCGTAAGTGAAACCAACCGAGAGGAAAAACGCCCCGGCAGGGAGAGCTGGGGGACAGCAGCGCAGCCACCTGGGGAGGCTGCGGAAGCTCCGTTGCTGGAGGCTTCCAAACGGAGGCAGGATGGGTTAGACCCAGCAAGGCCTGTCCCTTGGCAAGGGCGCGGCAGCCCCAGCCTGGACCCTTCACCTCCTGACTCCAAAGCGTAAGTGAAACCAACCGAGAGGAAAAACGCCCCGGCAGGGAGAGCTGGGGGACAGCAGCGCAGCCACCTGGGGAGGCTGCGGAAGCTCCGTTGCTGGAGGCTTCCAAACGGAGGCAGGATGGGTTAGACCCAGCAAGGCCTGTCCCTTGGCAAGGGCTGGCCTGGCTGACCCTGGCGCCCCCGTCTAAGCTACAGGTCTGTGAGC